AAATTTGATTTATTGTTATTTAATTTTGATTTTATATAATTTATTATATATTATATATTAAATTTTGTAAAATCTCAATTTTACCGATTCGATTTTACGATTTCGATTCCACCTAACCAAAACGATTTTAGGTAAAATCTCGATTTCGATAACCTTTATACTTGCACGTGCACTTTGAAAAATTTGTATAAAATTTAATATGTATAAGACATACTGATGTGGCAAATTGTGAGAAGAAAAACACACGAGTTACGTTGAGAACGAGTCTACAATATACAATTCCAGAAATATATAGTCACACTAACAGACATAAAGAAACTCCGTTCGACTTCTCGCCTCGTTACTTCCATTTTCCCAAAAAAAAAGGGGGAAAGTAGAAAACAAATACTCTTTCCTCTGCTCTCAACTGCTTCTGCTTGCTGCATACTCCCGAAAGCTGAGGTCTCCTCCTTTTCTTCTTCCAGCTTCTCTTTAGTGTTTCTCTGAAGAAGAGCCCTCCGTCGTCTGCGATGGCCGCATCGTCTCTCCTTCGATCTACGTCCTGCACTTCCTTGATCGAAGCCTATCCCTTCGCTGCGACCTCTCTCTTTCATCATCCGATCGTTTCAAGGTCCATCATTCTACTCCCACCAGCAAACTACAGTTTGATGTCGAAAACATTTCCTCCCCTCCCCCTTGAATCTATAGTACTAAGTTTATTTTTGTTTGTGGTATTTTTATTTGATTTTGCTCGTGATCTTTGTGGTTTAGGATCAAAGCTTACTTTATTTTTCTGTCTCAGGTGTCAAGTATTGGATTTAGCCACAGTCTCAAATCATCAAAGACACAATCAAGCATCTTTGCCGCTTCGGTTTCGACTGGTTCTTCTTCCTTACAGTTGAGCAAACGCATGGTCACTGTCTAAACACTCATATATTCATGTCCTGCTTTGTATTTTTTAAATGCTTGTTTTGATTTTTGGTCTTTGCATCTACCTGATACTAAAAGATGCTAACTTTAATGTGCAGGAAATGCAATTCGAGGTGTATCCAACCTATCAAAGCCACAGCTATTGAAATGCCTCCTACAGTTCAGAGTAAGAATTGGGTTTTTGGCATTTTATCTTCAATCCTCTTTGATGCTCAGAGGGGAAGGGAGGAGCTTAATTGTCTGTCAAATTAATGTGGAACACTGGAAGCTTATATGCTAATATAATTGTCCTTGGTTTTTTTACTTGTGTAGAATCCCCCAGTGGTGGGAAAACAGAGATGGGAATCAATGGTACGTTGTATTTGATGTTAAATGTTGCTGACACTGTTCTCTTCTTTTCTAATAATTGTACAGAAATGATGTTGTAGACATGTAGTGTGCCCTTTAAACTTTTGGCAGCTTGCAAAGTAGCAAAGAACTGCTTTTTACTTAAATCTATGATATTGTGAGTTATTGAAGTTGTACGTGGTTTTCAGGGCTTTTCACATGTATAGCAGTTTACCTTTCTCCTTTATGTTGCTATATAGGATTGAGAATTAAGGGCCTAACCTAAGGCCAAAGCAATTAGCTTCTTTGTTGGCTCGTGAAAAGAAGTGAGCTTGACATGCTATAAATGAAAACATGAGCCAATGACAGGAATCTTAATATCACGTTACAACATTGCAGATTGGTTGATGCTTATGGATTTGTTCATGCTTTATTTTTCTAGGTTTCAGTCAGCTTTTGAACACTTTTCAGATGTTTGTTTAGAAACTTGTTTCTAGGAAGTTGAGAGCTACAAGATTTCTATGGTGTTGTTTGCATGGACCAGGTCAGCATGTGGGAAGTAGAGACTAGACAATTTGTAGTTGGGTACTTTGGTTAAGGGTTTTTCTCCTACGGTTTAAAGCCAAGTAGATTTACATTTTTTCTGTGGCTACATGGCATGATGTCATCTACAATTCATTTCCCATAAAAAAGAAATCTTAAAACTTTTTTCTATTTGATATCAAAGGGCAGGTTTTGATAGGATTGGAAGGTTGGTTTTACGTGTAGCAATTTTCAAAGATGACATTGATGTGGTAGCAGTCGATGATGCTTTCATTGATACTAAATACATGGTAAGGATGTCCTATTTGATCATGGATATTCATAATCATACTATTGTATGATTCTTGTAATGTCTTCAGCCAATGGTTTTTTGATGGATGTTATGTAACAATGCTTTATCCCTCAAAAATTAAATGCTTTGATAAAGTCTTCAGCCTTCATGCTGTCTGAAAATCAGTTTGGTTGGCTAAGCAATGTGATTTCAACTAATTAGAGAATAGCATAAGTATAAGCACGGGACCAACATTTATTTGAAGGCTTTGGATGCTTATTTTCATTTACATAGCATTTTGCCTGTTTTGTTCTTGGCTTATCTTAGGTTCATTACCCAATCTACTTCTAGATTTCATTGTTTCAGATATTGTAGATGTCATCTGTTGCCATTTTTGGTGACAAATGTATTATGATTCAAGTGAAAAGACTGCATGAATGATATGGGAGCCCTTATCATATATTAATGATAATGGTGTCCTTATCATTGTTCCAGTTCCTCGGTTTCTTGAGAATTCATTTAATTCACTTTCACTTCTATCCTATCCTTATTTTTTTGCCAGGCTTACATGTTTAAGTATGATTCAACTCACGGAGTTTTTAAGGGAACCATCAGAGTTGTTGATGAGTCTACCCTGGAAATTAATGGCAAGCAGATGAAAGTTATAGGCAAAAGATATTGCACTGTAAATTTGCTCCTCATAATTTAACAGAAGTTGAACAGCTTTCATTAGTGAATTTATTCCCAACATTCACCACTGAACTATCTCCACTGAGGTTCTAACATCTAACAACATCTCTATTAGGGACCCAGCTGAGATCCCTTGTGGTGATTATGGTGCTGAGTTTGTTGTTGAATCATCTGTAGTTTTTACAACAATTGAGAAAGCCTTAGCTCATATGAAGGTTGGTATAACTTTCAGCTCATATTTGCAGCAACAACAAGACGGGATCTAAATTAAACTTTTTGCTGATCTGTTATGCAGGGTGGCACCAAGAAAGTTATAATTCCTGCTCCCTCAGCTGATGCACCTATGTTTGTGGCCGGAATAAATGAGAAAACATACAACCCAAGTATGGACATTGTTTCTAATGCAAGTTGTACTACCAATTGCCTTGCTCCTTGCCGAGGTTGGATTGTGGTCTAAGATTTTAAGCTTTATTACTTATTGTTTGAGTATACTATGTTCTTCCTTTCACACCTCCATTTGGTTTTGTCTTGACTTAGTGATATGGCTTTGCAGGTGGTTCATGAGGAATTCGGTATTGTAGAGGGCTTGATGAGAACCGTGCATGCTACCACCGGTAGATCTCTTCCACCTCACTTAATTCGTTAATGGCATGTATTAAAATCATCTGCATTGTCATGGTAACAAGCTATGGTTCTTGATGTCTAGCAACCCAAAAGACCGTCGATGGCCCTTCAATGAAGCACTGTCAAGGGGGCCAACGAGCTGGGCAAAATATCATTCCTAGTTCAACTGGTGCTGCAAAAGTACACAGCTGTATAAAATTCTAGTTTACTTAGGATAGAGAATTTTGGTTTTGTAATTTAAATATATTTTGTATTTTTGCTTTTGCAGGCTGTTGGAAAAGTTCTGCCAGCACTAAATGGAAAGCTTACTGGAATGACCTTCCGCGCGCCTATACCCAATGTCTCTGTTGTGGATTTAACTTGCAAACATGAAAAGAGTGCTTCATATGAGGACGTTAAAGCAGCAATAAAGTGGGTATTCTACCTTTTGGCTTGGATGTCCATCTTGCTTGTCCTGTTCTATCAATCATCATTATGCTTCCTGCCATTCTCTCTAATTTGGTGTTATTTGGTTGTATTCTTAATGAAGATTTGCAGCTGAAGCGCCACTTAAAGGTATTCTTGGCTACACAGATGAGGTTGTTGTCTCAAATGAGTTTGTTGGGGACTCAAGGTATAGTCCTTTATCTCCAAACTAGTTTTTTACTTGGCTGTCACTTATCGATAACGAATATGCTTCTTTTTTCTATCCTTATCAAGTGGAATTTTGGTACCAATGAGCTATCCCGTCTCTTTCCAGGTCAAAGCATATTTGATGCAAAAGCTGGAATCGGGTTAAACTCTTCCTTCATGAAGCTTGTTTTATGGTACAATAACGAATGGGGTTACAGGTATATAGCGTTTTCATACTCTCACTCAATCTGCATTATGTATCTGCCCACTGAAAATATGTGGTGGCCTTGCGTGACAAATTCGTTCAAATTTTCTTGCAGCAACCGAGTACTTGACCTAATAAAGCACATGGCATTGGTAGCAATACCCCGAAACTAAATATGAAAGAGACAAGTTCTGTTGCTGCTGGCCAACTCTGCGATTTTAGCACCTCCTAGATG